GTGGTAACGCTTTGGAAAAGTTTTCCAGGCAGCGGAGGCATTTAAATGATCCTGGAGAGGGATCTGAAGGAGTCCTGCCCATTTGGATAGGCTGAGAATGTGTTCCCCAGGGCTGTGGAGACAAAGGCTCTTCGCTTCACTGAGCGCTCCCAATGGAGTTACTTAATATGTCGAACACCGCTGCTTACTCAGTCAGACTGAGTTCATTTGTAAGCATGTCGTCACTGCAGGACCATCACTCCCATTGTCTCTTTGTGTCACCTATTCTCAGACACTTGGTACAGAGTCAGGAGCCTGCTGGTGATCTGCTGTATGTCATGAGAGGTGCATAGCAGCTATTATAGAAATTAGCATATTTTTTTCCTGTCTGCTTTACTGCTTTCTACAAGCCGATTCTCAGTCTTGACCCAATTATTTTAGCCTCATTTCAGGCTTATGTTGCTCTCAGTTGAAGAAAAGTTCTAAAAAAAAGTTACATTGTGGTGCATTCACTGACTCACTGAAATCTCTGCTTTTTCACTACCTGTTTTTTTTTTTCTTAAGTATTCTTTTTTGTATCGTTTTGCTCTCTTTTAAAACAGTTTCCTGGCTCACCACACTAAATAAAGTGTTACTTTTTGTTTTATTCAAAATAGAAAATAACCAGAGTGAAGACATTCTCCTTTACTTTCAGCACTTTTTCTACCCCAGGGTTTCTCAAACTCTTGTCAGCAGGTTTTCTGTTATGAATGATGCTTTCTGAAGGATACGTGCTGGTGAAAGAAAGATGGCTGTGCTTTTCAGCAGCAGAGGTCCACAGGATATCCAGTTAAAAGGAGTTCGGTGCAGGAGTCAAAGTACTTGACCTCTTGTGGTATTGTGTTGCAGGCAAAAAAGGTGAAGCAGGTCATTTTTAGAGGTATTTCCATATTTTAAACAGGTTTATATAATGAAATGGACTATTATATTTTTACATAAAATAAATAAATGTGTTTTATATAGATTAGTGTTAAAATGCATTTTGGGGTATTGGGGAAATCATGACAAAGTGAGGATGTTTTTTAAATAATGCCATCAGAAATACTTATCAGAAATGAAATAATCAAGTAAAACAACAGTTGAATACGTGGTTTGACCACCGCGCATGCAAGCACACTGGAGGTTGGCGAAAACATTCACCAGAAACGTTGCTTTTTGTTCCTCTTGATGTTGAAGATAGCATCAAGATCTTATGATGTCTATGGAGATGTTTCCTTTCTAAATGAATTTAAACAGATCATGTGCTTTCCTGTTTGTAATGAATCAGGTGATCGTTATTAATCCACCAAGGAAAAGGGCTGCAAACACCACACAAGAATACAAGAAAACATTTGGAGATCCAGGGCTTAAACAGTGTATAAGACAAACTGTCATAAAAACAAAAAACATGAAATTTGGCATGATAATTAAAAAAAAAAAAATCCGCTTTAGTTTTTTTTTCTTGTTTTTTGGTAAAACAGTCAACTTGAAAATTCCTGGATGACAACAGTAATTATGGCATGGACAGTTTGTTGATGCCCCATAATAACTCCAGTATATATCCATGTAGTGTGACTATATCCCAGCAGCTACAGGCCGGGCTGCAGAAATGTCCCTTCATTGCAATGAGACCAGGGTAGCACTATTTGTAAGCTAAAAGCAGGAAGGCAACCGCTTCTTTTCTTGACCCTGTTAGATTTATTCCTGTTCCGTCCACCGCAAAGTTATTGCTGTAGCCATGCGAAACACATAACACAACACCCACCAGTGCCGACAGCACAGCAATCCTTCAGAGATCTCACACTGCCGATGATGAAATGTGAACATAATGCATAAGTGTCAAAAAAGTGCCCCAAATGCCCACATGTTTGTTCATAAGTAAATCTGACCATATTTGGGAAACATTAATGTTCTTAATATTAATGTAAAGAAATATCTAAACATGGTGAAGCCTTAATTCCTGATTATGGCAGAAATAATCCTCAAATGCAGGGCTGTTCAAGTGCACGTTCATTTCATGCACAGCTGCAGCATTTATGATTAATCTGCTGCCTACTTCTCCATTTCATTGACTATTTGTCTGGTTTTTAACACAGAAACAAACGTGCTAATTTCCCACAGCTTTCTCTGTAAAGACTAATTGTCCAGTGCGTAAATGCACTGAAATTGTTGCACCATGAATCAGGAAATGGTGCCACTGACTAATTGTTACATCAGGCTGGCACCAGTGTTGTGGGCCACATGATGCACATGGTCTTTGCTGGATTCTTGTAGTTAAATCCCCTTTTTTCCATTTACAATAACAGTAGCAGGCAGTCGGCGTCAGCCATTGTTTTTACTCTATAAAGAGTTATTTACTTTATGTACAAAGGGCTGAAAGACCAGCAGCTGAAAGCCTGTTTGCCAGTTAGACCTGCGGCTGATCTAATCAGCAGATTAAAGGCCTGAGTGTAGATCTTTGTGGCTAACGAGATCAGAGACATACAGGAGGTGCTATGTATGGTCAGATAAGATGCTTGGTGACATTGTTTTGACAATTTAAGCGACCGTAGCTTCAGTAAGACAGTAGAACATACAATAGGGACACATTTAACAGCTGGAATAAATAGATTTGTGTTGGATAGTTTGATTAGATTAAAAAGTGGGCTGTGCTTCGGTGAACAGATCTGATTTCGTGAGGTTAAAACGCCCTCGCCTTGATTGTCAGACCTGACTACCACATCCAGTTCAGTAATTAAACAGTACGTGGGCTCTCTTTGGCCAAATTTGACAAGTAAAATATCGTCATCATTGAGTTGTTATTAAAGACCTGTATGATATAGATGGGAATCTGTAATTTAGGGATGAAGAAGTATTCCCCTTTGATTTGCTTACTCATTTTCCTACAGTTTCCCATGCATGTGTATCTCTGGTCATGCTCTGTTTCATATCTGCAGATATCTGCAAAAGATCACAGATTTCCTGTTGCTACTGCACTTTCTGTGAAGGGTATAAATGAGGGGCTGTCATCGTTGGGACAGAGAAGAGAAGGAACGATGTTTGAAATATTAGTTACTCATAAGTTTACATCCAGGTTTCTATACAGCTTCATTTATTCACGGTGTATTTTTGTTTCTGCACACATCCTGTCTGTATTTTATGGATAGAGGGCTCATATATAGCTGTTAGTCTCAGTAGCTCGAAAAAGCTTCAGCTGATATCTGAGCTGCAGGAATTAGTCGATAACTATATTCAAGGTTTCTCTGTCTGCAGCCAGAGTTAAGATTCACTGCAGATGTGAAGACTAGGCTTGTTGCACAAAGCATTCCCCCTACACTCTGTGCACAGACATATATAAAACATGAAATCTTTGAGATTAGCTAAACATATGTCAGTATTCAGAATTTGTACTTAAGGTTTTCTGCTTTCTTTTGTCAGAAAAATCTACACATCGGCCAAAATGCCATCTTAAAGCTATCAGCTACTGTTTGGAGCTAATTTAACTTTGGGTAATTAATAAAAGATAAAATTAGATGTATTTGGACTGTAAAGAAAGGATGTCTTGTCTTGTATATCAAATACACTGGATACTAGCTACACTAGCTGTTCCCAGAATGGCAGAACGGTGTCCTTCAGCTCATTGTTTTGGATTGGCAACCTGCAAGTTTACTGTTTTGGTTCATTGACAGAGATTTCAGCAGAAGTTGCACCTCTTTTTTTTTTTTTGTGAAAAAGCTCTGATAAATCCATCATACAATTCTTTCCCAGTTTCAGATCGTAGCACTAAAAGGGTTGATGGCCAACACTGAGCTAAAAGAAAGTAAATATCTGCATTACATTCAACAGGTCATCAACTGTTTGCTAACAAGTTTGTTCTTGGAACTCTGTGGCATCAGCTTATCCCTTTTTAAGTCCACTGTTGGGTTCATCCAGCCTTATGCTGTGGGTCCAAGTAAGGCCTCTTTACAAACATGACATGTCTTGATCTGTGGAAGATGACCTGCTTCACGAAGGCCTTGTGCTAAACTAACGAACACAACAATACTTTTTGACTACTGATACTGATTTTGTATCACACGTCTGTGGAACCACGATCCAGGTATACCTCCGTTTTTTGTGCTTTGGTTTTGATTTACAGGTTTCTGGCTTTTCTATAGAGGTCAAAAACAAACAGAGCTGATGACTGGATTAATGACTGGAACACAAACAAAAACTATTTCCAATTCACGTTTTATCTGAATGATCTTTACACATCAACACACATGACAGAACTGTCTAATAAAAAAAGTTCAATCACAAAATGAACACAAATCTTGTTCAGCTATTATAAACTGTAATCACCCAAATTTCAGCTTTTCTTAAATAACAAGTAGTTCCAGTTAGAAACTTTAGCTGACCCACATTAGTGCAATTAAACAGAGGCAGTGTAGCCCCCTAATGGGGTCCTGTGTACTGAAGAGTGCTGGAGCTGTCAGCGAGGCTGTCAGTCATGCTGTTTGATAACTCTGGAAACGGTCCCCGCGAGTGCCCCCCTGAGTTGGCCGATGAGATTGCTTAATCCCATTAACCTTGGGTTTCCTGTAATTCAGAAGAGCAACTGCCTCCATAATTTGACACATCCTGTCTAATCATCCAATCCTTCCTCTAATCCCACTCTCAGTGGAGCGTAATTACATTCTTTATGCTTTGTTTTGTTAGGGAAAGGGGATTCAGCAGGGAAACTGAAACAAGGTGACTCCTGTGCCGCTTGTAAGACGGAGGGTTCACACGGCTAAGTTTCTTTCCCTAAAGTGGCCAGGAGGGGGCACTGTTAGTGCAGCTGCTGCGGCCTTAATGAGGCTATTGAGACGTCTGTTGTTAACATAGTTATTGCTGTTTGTTTGTTGATTCTTAAGATTTCAATTGTAATAAAAAATATAAAGGATTGGGTTTTAGAAATGGGAGAGAGTCTGCTTTGGAGGAAAGTTGAATTTCTCTTTTTTGCCTTTTTTTTCTCTCTTTCTAGGTAAGTTGCTGCTCCTGCCTTTTGTAACTTTGTGGGGTTCCAGGTGACAATAGGAGGCTGTCCGGTGTCACAGGACGGGTGAGCGCCTCCTGCTTGTGCATCAGATCTTTCTGTCCTTGCTTCTTACTCGAAAGTATCTTTTCATTTCTGTTAATGCAGTGGCATAATTAGACAAGCGAGTTTTGTATTTCGTTACAGTATGCAACTGTTCATTCCTCACTCCTTTGTGTGTGACAGTCTTCAAGTGAATGCTGCTTTTTATTTGGTATAATAGTCACTGGTACAACAGTGCTGTCATTGTTTGTGGCACAAAGAGCTGCAGGCTGTTTGCCATCATGTCTTCTGTACTCTTTCTTCTGATGCCAAGCCAAGTGAGTAAACTGGATCTGCAGCTTGAGGCCATGTCTCGCTTTCCTTTTGCACTTTTATATCTCTGTCTTGTATCGTGTCTCAATCTCAATTTGCATCTTGCAATTACTTCAATATTCCGATATTTTTTGGGTCCTTTTCTTGGTTTTGGTCAACAAGCAATTCCCAAATGTAAATATATTCAAGTTACAAGAGCATAAATTACTACTCCTTGAATTTCTTTCTTTATATACATGCACACACTATATTTTGCAAGTGTAAGAGTGGGCTGTATTCAAGGATCAGGGTGAAATCATATCCCTCCCACTGACATTTAACTTTGTCAGTAATTGTAAGTTTTAAAGCCCTCGAGCTTGGTGCCGTTTCCAGAAGTTGCCTGGCATGAGACGACGGTATAAAAGCTACTGAGGCTGTTTGTCCGCCAACCCTCACCGCAGGCAAAACAGCCAGCAACAGCCAGCAAGGCGCCCTGCTGTATGAAAAGCCCTGTGAGACCCCTTCACTGCCACTTTCTATGAAGCAGATAACAGTTACTATCATGCTTATTTTTTTCTCTCGTGGGAGTGACAGTCTGGGAGTGATCTAGAAAAGGCCTGAGGAGGTGGGAATGTGGACGGGATCTGGACAGAGTGGAGGTGAAGCCCCAGTCACACTGTGTCAGGGCTGAGTTTACGAGGAGGCCGAGCTGATTTATAGGACTCCTCTAATGGCACTGAACACACATCTTGCTGACATGTTGCTTCGGGGGTTTCCTGAGAGCGATGTCTTGTCAAAGTGCTTTTAAGTTTTGTTCTTGCTCGCTTGGTAGTAAACAAAACACCATTGTGGGACCATGGTGGATCTATCACCCATTACCTTAAATCACCTTGGTGGGTAACATCCCCACAGTGACTACATTTTTGGACTTCTTCAGCTGGTAGTTAGTTGGACCTGCCTGAGTAGTTTGAGAATAAGGGTCTTTTAATAAGCCATGACTGAATATCTAACAATAAGAAACACAGGAGCTGTCTGATTGAAGCCCTGCAGCCTCCATGGAGAGAAAGTCAGTGAAGCGTGACTGTGTGCTGCTGTCAACATAGAGGCCAGTGGAAATCGGCACACCTGGCTTTATACTGGACATGGTCCAATGACTTCCTTTGGTGTTGATATGCACACTGAAAAATGTTTTGGTGAATTTACTCAACGCACCAAAGAAAATCATCTAAGTCTTTGTTTAGTGAGCAAAATATACATAATTAACATGGCTTTTAATTTGACACACTGTCACAAACTGTGCTTTTCACACACAATATCAAGCACATGTGAAATATACTTTGGTTTTCTCGCTGATTTAATCCCTCAAACCCTTAACTCAGCCCTCAACTTGATGATTTTCAAAAACTGTTTGCATTTTATTATCAGCCGTCCCATTATTGCTCAGTACCCTTCCGCGAAAACCAGAAGCAACAACAGTACTCACAAACATGGCTGAAGAAATCTCAGAGTCTAACACTGATTTTGCTCCAGAGACCTGGGACTTGAGGAAAGGGTTTTTCCACATCCAGTTATGTGAGCACAATTCAAGGAATTTTAGTGTTTCAGCTCCTCGTCTCGTCGTGTTGTCTCCTTCAACATAATGTCCAATGTCTCCACTCTTCTTGATGAAGACATAAATATACTCGATGGTCTTATTATGTTCTCCGTATTTAATTTAACTTTTAAAGCACACTTTAAATGAGATTAAACGTTCCTCTCACCACACGTTTAATCTCCATGTTTTTATGGAAGGCTGTGTAAATTAAGGATTAAAATAATCTGGAAAGATTTTTATCATAAAAAGAGAATAAATGCAGGTCAGCCACATTTTAACTGTTTGCCACTTGATTAATTTAATATTTGTGGTTTTGTTGGCATAATTTAGCTCTTTTAAAATTACAAAGCCCTTTCATTGCAAAGAAAAGCATCTACATCAGTCAACCACAACACTGACAGATTCAAAAGAGCCAAACAAATGCAGTGTTATCCCTTGAATTATGACATATAATACCAGGGATAGTGTTAATTAAATTTTAGGTTCAGTTATAATTTTAGCTTTCACGGACTGTTAAAATAAGATATTATTAAAATAAGTTATCTTTTCGTGCTTGGCCTATTATTCTCTAAAAGTTCAAATTCACTTCCCATCAGGGTGTCGCACTGAGTTCACGCTTATTTAGTTCATGTTTATGAAAATTTATGTAATTAAAAGACACATTTTACCTCTTTTTTTCTAATTATAATTTTTGTCACGATAAAGCACCTTGCAGGTCATCCTGCTGAAAACTGGTGCAGACTCCTAAAAACGGCTCCCCGACAGAACAATGCTCCCGACCACGCCCGAAAAACAGCTCAGGGAGAGCTTGAGGAACACAACAAAGAGCACAGTGTTGATGCTGCCTCCACACCCTCCAAGATTTTCATCCGAGAGTAAACCAGATACTCAGAGACCCCACTCTGCACCACATCAGATCTGTGTCCAGCTCTATGATTGCACAAGGGGGTCCTGCACAGTATTTATTGTTTCTTTAACAAGGACGGTCAAAGTTATAGACATAAATATAAAATGCAAACATACCACATTTAATTGAAAGCGATAATTTAGACCTGTAGTCCCAATGCAGATCAGATAAATCTATGCAGGTGAAAATATACAGCTAATACATTACTTAAAAAAAACTAACATAATTAATTGTTTGAGATGTGCCTGAAGGGTTCGATCAATACACTGTCCCCTAATTATAACTGGTGAGGAGTGTTTGTTTACTCCCCTTTCCTAAGAACTTGTGGGTGATCTGTGTATAATCAGCTGGGATTCTCAGCAGTTTAAGTGCATTCCAGTGGTGAGCCAGTATCAAGGCAAAAGAAAAGAATACCAGAGAATTAAACTTGTCTCACAGCTTTTACACAGTAATCTCGATCGGTATGTTCAGTATGTTTTGAACAGTTCCTTCCTCAACAGTAAATCAATTAAAATGATATTTAGTGGTGATCCAGGGTTATGAGGAGGTCCGTCGATCCATGTTGAAGGCAAACGGAGCCTGTGGGCTCAGCAACAGGTTATATTTTAGGGGAGTATTCCTTTGAAATGCTCGAGTTGAGTTTCTTGGTTGGTGTGTGCGTGAATGGTAACGGAGCAACTCCAAAATAATGTCAAAACCAGAGTTTCTTTTGATGTTTTTATCACCTGAAACTTTTGGATCAGGTTGTGTGGTGAGCAGGAGAAGCTCTCAACATCTGGACGAGTGTGTCTGTTTCTTATTGTTGCCAGTAGCGATGCTATTGCCTCTGACCACTGTTCTGGCCTTGTACTCTATGCACTCATATTTCTTTGGTGCGTCATGTTACTGTGGCTGCAGGCATTCCTGGCCAGCCACGCCCTGCCATGGGTTTTGATGACTCATTGCAGTGGTCACTCACACACACACACACTTTCACATTTCCGTTGCTACGCTGTGGTTCCTCTTAATCATATGATGCTCCTATCTGATTTGGCGAAGTCTGGCGTTCATCCATTTTCTACTTTCCAAGTCGTCCATTTTAGGTTCAGGATTTTTCAAACCACCTTTGCACTGAGCTGCTTCATTCCTTCCCGTGTTGCCTCAGACTGGCTCAGAGGTCCATTAGTTTCTAACAGCATCAGCCATTTTTTTTTTTCAGATGGTTTGTGATCCAAAGCTTTTATGCTGTGAACAGTATTTATAGTGGTTTGTGCATTACCAACAAAAACCTGTAGTCTAAGTTCGGCTTGACATTGTGATCCTTTAAAGCCAAATGAAAAACAATGCACTGATGCTGTTATCCATTTTGTGTTAATCAGTGATAAATATGCTTTTCAAATATTTGAATAGTTGCTACATTTTTCTAAAACTCACATGGTTTATGTAACCATTTCTTGTCTTAATTACATATTTGTCCACATGTACCTGTGCATGGTAGGATAAAGCATGCTACTATCAGCACTGACAAGATTTTTGCTAAAACAAACACCAGCAACAACACAATAATGTTCTGCTCTCAGGCTTTGGTCACATAAAGTGTGTTCAGATTAGAGATTAGATGCTGCTGATCAAACATGAGAAACATAAAGCTACAGCCATCAAAAATAGCTCAGGAAAAAAATAAGGCCTTGCCAAGTAAAGCTAACATGTCACAAGTCTGCCACAGCTCTGCACAGCCAGTAGTTTCCAATAACCATTAAATGCTTGAACTACCCTGATACCACTCATCAGCCTGCAGACCTGTTTGAGTGTCAGCGATCTTCCTCTTGTTTGTCCCTCTTCTGCAGTAGGATGCTGCAGCATCTCACTCAAGGACAGTTTGACATCGAGGTGTGAAGTCAGGAAAGCTTGAATAGCCTTGTTGGCTGCCCTCAACTTAGCTGTCTGCTCATATACAGAGATATATAATTAGTGTCAGTCCCAGGTAGGCGTAAATCAAGTAGTCATACACATTTAAGGGTGTCTAAAAGCTGTGAAAAAGTAGCTTTCTTTCTGTTATTAGCTAAGAGAACAGAAAAGTGGACAGTGGTGAGCAACAGCCCGATCATGTCTAAATTTACTTCAAACCCACGCTCTGCAACATGTATCTAATACACGTATCTAATAAACATTGAGAAGTTCAGTATATTTAGATGGTGCAATGACTCACAGGCTGTGACACAAGGCTGCGTTTCCTCTGCTGTTTGTTTACAGGCTACATCCTTCTTGGTGCTGTCATGATAACAGCATAAAGACACCTCATACAAACAAACTCCTGCTGCTACAAGCAGCTCTCTCTTTCTCCTTTGATTAAAACAATTTCATTGCAAAGGGCAGCTTTGACCTGGCCAGTGTTTTGGAGCTCCATTTATAGCTTCATTCTTTCACTTTGGTTGTTTTTCTTCTGGGACAGGCCCAAATCACACAGTGTTTATTCAGCTTAACAAGGACTTGTTACTGCAGCAGAGACATGGCTCCATATGAAATTGATTAACTCCTCGCTGAGCACTGATAAAAATGCTTATGAGAAATTCTGCCTTCTCCTATGTGCATTTTTTAATGACGCTATCCGGGTAACAAGCATATACGTCCATGATGTTAAAGTCAGATTTGTCAACATTAACCATCCATCAGTTCCCAAAAAACCTCTAGCTGTATTTTTGGTTTATATGGGATGTTTTAATTAAATACATAATCAAAAATCAATATATTAAATAGCCAACTGGATTTGTATTTGTATAATATTTCAACATTTGCAGTTTAATCAGGTGCGATTCATCTTTTTCTGATGAGATTTAAGTTTCCTTTTTCAAATACATTTAAACTAAACCATACTAAACTAAACTGCATTGTGGAGATTCCATCTCTAAAATTAGTATGAAACTGCTACAAGCTTTGTTGGTGAATCTTATCACTCTGTTTAGTTTAATGTTAGGTACACTTACTTTCTTGTGTGTGTTCTCTGTTTTTCACTCATATTTGTGAGTGGGCTGATGTGTAAGGGTAGAGATGTCCATATAAAGGTTCCATTATATGGAGTTTCCAGCAAATTTTAAATCCATGAGCCATTCTGCTAAAAGTTGACACCGTATCCATCTGCCTTGGGGAAAAAATGTGCCTTTTAAATCACTAAAAGATTTTTGCACTCGTTTTACATGAGGTGGACAGATGTAAGTACTAACTCCAGAAGCACAGATGGATCAGAGAATAAGACGGATGACGCCTTTAATGCATACATTATCCAGAGGAATTTGGCCTCCATTGCACTGCAGACAGTTCAGTTCAGTTTGCAGAATGTCCTCAGGACTTAACTGAACATCGTGTCAGGAACATGTTTTAAGTGCAATAGTTGCAGAATTTATCACCACACATGTGTGTGTGAACTGTTTCAGCAATAGTCCTCCCAGCATTTTCCCACTGCTCCATTTCCAAATGTCAAAATGCAGACTTGAATTTAACGACTTGGAAGACAACCATACAGCTTAAACGACTCGCTATAAAGTACGCACTGGAATGTGGAGAGCATTTATCTGCCAGTAGAGTTGAATAGGTTTATTTTAAAGCACCCAGTGTCACTTTGAGTTGTCTTCATTCCCTCGACCTCGGCCATCGCCACCATGGCAATGAGCTTTCATCATGACTTGGAGAGAGCAGCAATAAACATCTACATTATTTATATCCAGACAAAGGTTGAGGATGCGTATATTTTTTTATTTTTCCCATCAGGCTTTTTTTAATAAGATTGACTGGAGATCGTCAATCTCTAGATTGCATTTAAGAAAGGCTATAACTGAAGCTGTTAGAGGTGTGACGCAGGTGCAGACAGCTTCACTTCACTCCATCTATGATTCTGTGTTTGAAAACCAAACAAAAACTCTATTGTTGCCGCCAGTGTGTTTGATATAGAGCCACGGACAGGTAATGGAGAACACATGGCGATTAAGTCTCTGCATCCAGTGAACCAACACAGTCCTCAAGTTTTTTTGATGAATCCCAAGACCACTAAATTCTTGCGCTGTGAGAGGCCTGTTTTCTTTTACCAGAAGAGTTCTTACCAGCTGTGCCATGCAGCAAGAATTTATCTGTGCTAGCAAAAAGATTGTGATTCATTCTTCCAGACATCTTCACTTAACGCTTCAGTATATCATTTCGAGTTCTATGACAGCCTATCGAAATACGATGGAACTGGCAGGAGATCATTTGCCGGGTATGATCTGCAGTGGAGCCTCATCTGGCGCAAAAGTTATTTGCGCTGATTGTTGCCATGCCCCAAAAGGGCGGGGTTATATCCATCTCCAGAATTCTGATTTATGTTTATGTGACTGCATAATGTTGAAATAGCTTAATACTGTTTGCCCCAGACCTGCTAGAGGGAGTCATCTTCCCTCTCCTGCATGCTCTTACTCCAAGCGACTTCTTATGAAACATTGCTCCCAGTAGAGAAATCAAGTTTCTTGACAAATGGGTTTGACACAAACAGGCAAAAGCTGATTTTCATTAAGCAGATTATAAAACTGATTGTTTGGAAAAATAATTAAAAAGCTTGAACCTCTGTATTTATTTCAACACTTCACCCTAATAGGTTTTCTGTTCAGAGATTTTAATGTGATCAGCAGAGATGTGCTCCTATATTCATTATTATTATTAAATGACTGTTAAATGTTGCAGCTGTCAGAGAGAAGAGGGAAAATTAGGAAGAATTAGGGAAAATCACCATCTCCTGCAGACTTTTTCCAAACCTCCTGTTTGTATTTTTAGCTCCACTGGCAGCTGTTGTTACCCTGGACTCTTATAACTGCTGTTCAGTCTCATTTGGTCTCAGAGGAGGTTGAGTAACATGGACCTAAACACAGGCACAATTGTCTTTTCTTATGGGGCAATCCACGACTTGATGGCTTTTCCATTTAGGTTTGCAGAATTGGCTGGCCGGAGATGTGGGCTATGAGTGAGGAAAGGAAAGCATGGAGACCAAAGATTATACGCTGTTTGTACTTAATGTTTGACATTTAGGTTTGGTGTCTTTGAATAGCACTGAAGAACCTTTGGAAAACATTAGTGACTATGACTGTATATTATATTGGGCAAATTCAGTAGTTTAGAATACAAAGAGAGCCTTTCATTCTGGAACCTTGTATTTCGTCAAAGTGACATTTTCAAAACCTCTTGCCTTTAAAAACACATGCCGATGATTCGCCACAGCTGTCCCTGTTTTGCACAGCATTGTATGCATGGTTGTTATCCCCTCAGGCCTGTTCGGTGTTGGTTGTGTCATCCCTGCCCCATATCAGATGTTTTAGCTTTCAGCTTGTTTTTTCCCTGTTATCTGTTACCTACACATCTGTTTGAATGTTAAAGTCTCATTTCATTCATGCATGTAACACGGTATATGTACTATTCTGCAGTGTGTCTGTCTTACAGATGATTGGATTACCACCCATCACCGCTAATTGTTGTATCCCTGTGTTATTTCAGGTGTATTACTTCTAATGTCTGATGCTGTGTTAGAGTGCTGCACATTTTAAATCACCATCCTTTTACTGAAAATCTTCTGTGCAGTTATTTGTCCAAATGACTCTGAGGTATGCTAAAAGGCAGAATGTAATGTCTGGCTTTTTTGGTTTTAATTCTTTAGTTATTGCCAGGCTCCGTTCGGACTGTAGTCAACATACCACTAGCTCATTACAGTTACTCTAATCCTGCGTTATTAAGACCTTCAGTAAGTCCTGCAGTGACTTTACAAAAACTATTTTTATTGTTTTTGTCTCCAGTGCTGTTGGTAAACTCTTGTTGTTCTCATCTGAGGCTGGTGAGGAAGGATTAAGATGACAACCTAGTGATGGTGAATTTGTGTGTGATGCACAGTTTTCTACACCATCAGCTCATATATGAAATAACTAATAGTACTAAAACTGGTTCACGTTAAGTAACTAGACATGAATAATATCTTGCATTTTAAATATTTATTTCATGATTATATATTGTCATACACTGTCTGATTTGTGCATAGATTTTGACGGATTTTTTAGCAAAGAAAGAATTAATTGTTTGCGTTTTTATATATAAAACCCACACTGTTTTTGCACTTTGTGTTGAAAGCTGGCTAAGGTAGCAGGGGTTTTGTAGCAGCGGCACTGCCCATTACCCACACAAGGTCCAAACCTCCTTTTCTCGTCTCTGTTTGGATCCTTTTGGTTTCTGTTTGCATCCTGTGTGCGCACACCCCTTTAGATTCTCCTCCTCTCTTCCCTCTCGCCTCTCATCCACACTGTTTCTGTTTCGACTGGGGACTGAGAAGGTAGGAGGGGTTCTGAGCATCGCTGTTTCTCCATGCTGACTCATGATGACAACTGGGTAGATAAATGCTTCATCAAAGTGAATCCAAAATTATGTAGAATTAAGAATTTTTAACAGGTCTTCTTTGTGATATGTTTCTCTATGCAAATACTGCGCATTGAAGTGCTTATAGTATATGAAGAAGGAATTCCTTGAGGATCTCAAAGAACACAAAGGAAGACATAATGGTGGCTGGAATGGTAATGCCATTAGCCAATCTGAAAGCAATCTACGAGCTTCTCTTCAAAGATGGCGTCATTGTGGTTAAGAAGGACAGGCGGCCACAGTCCATGCATCCTGATCTCAATGGGGTGAATAACCTAAAGGTGATCCGTGCCGTGGGCTCTCTCAAAACTAAAGGCTACGTCAGGGAGACTTTTGCCTGGAAACATGCCTATTATTATCTCACCAATGAAGGTATCGGGTACCTGCGAGATTACCTGCACCTGCCTCCAGAAATCATGCCTAGAACCCTTCATCGCATTTGTCGCCCTGGATTTTCTGCTCGAGTTCAAAGCGTGAAAGGCCCGAGATCTTCCATTTCAGAACTGAAGGCCCAAGGAAGAACCCAAGAGGGTGTTACGGACAGGCACGTTTACCGTCACAAGAGAGTTGAAGAAGAACAACCTGACAGACTTCCAAAAACCTTCAGAGGCTCCTACCAGATGTCCATTGGTCAGCCTAGAGATCAAAACACTACCTTGTTCAAGGTGGACAAAGACCTCTGCATAGAAGAGGAAAGTCACAGTAAAGTTTTCAATGCTTCTGTTCTTCACCATGAAGACAAAGCCACCAGAGGTCATTACTCAGTCGAGGAGGCCAAGCAAGGTTTTCATTCTCCTTCAGTTGTGATAAAGTTTCCAAAAGAAATCCAGACAGTTCAGAAGGTTCCTGGTGTTCCAGTAACAGAGGTCCTGCAGGAATCGTTTAAGAACACATGTGCTGAACCACAAACAGGTTATAAGGAGTCTGGACGTGTTGCTATGGCCAGCATGAAGGTGCAGAAGACTACAACTGAGGAACCTGTAAAAGAACTGATCTTAAATGAGATGAGAAGAGAGACCAAATATCTGTTCTTGGGGGTTCTTGAAGAAGAGGTACCTGCGAGTGAATGCGGTATACAAATGGTAGCAGACCCCCAGGCAGTCCCTTTGATGGAAGAGCTTATTGATGATGAAGAGAAAGATGAAGACCTTCTCCATGAGGTTGTCAACTCAGCTCCGTTTGGATCTTCTGCTGACGTTGTGACAGAAGAATACCACAAGAAGTTGCCAGGTGATGTTGAGGAGATGAAACATGTGATGGTTGAAGTTTACAGCCCTGCAGATAAAAGTGAAACATCCAAGTGTGACACTTACAAATCTGTGCAAAATATTCCCGAGGAAAAAACAATGGAATCTGACATTACAGATACAGAGAATGAAAAAGACAGTGAGACAATAGTTTCTGCAGAAGTCATGATTTCTCATGATGCATCTGGAGCCTCCTCCACTGCAGCCACTAAAGCAGACCGTCCCGTCCCTATAGTCCCACCAGTTTACCCAGCTCTGAAGATCCCTCTGCTTCAGGTAGACTGTACCACTCTCACAGAAGAACCTGAAAAAGGTAAAGATGCTCAGAAGACCGGGCCTGACTTCCCTGAAGGTTTGAGCTTCTTCTAACTCCTCCTCCCGTTTCTTCCTCTTTCATTTGCAGTAAAGGCTATCTTGGTGTTGCTATGGCTGCTGGCTCTGTTTATGTGGGTGAAGCAGAGATAATTTAATCTCGTCTCTTATTGATACAAATAATGGTCCTGTCATTTTTCATGTAGCTAAATAACAACAGACTGTCAATTAGGTGTCATTTTACAGATGCAGATTGTGGCAACCAGTGGCCCACTTACACAGACAAGCTTTGTCTAAATGTGAATCATGCACATGTTTGCATACTGTGTGTTAGTGAGGGTACAGTTATATTTTTAAAATGCATTAGTCCTCATTTTGTTTACTGTCACACATCTGCTTATGGGACTCACAGTAACTAAAACTCGAACTGTAGAAACATTAAGAATTTATAACAAATAAGAAAATAATGTGACTTTTATCCAACACTGATTATTGAGACACCTTGTAGATCATTCGTTTTATGTGGCCTGTGATGCTTTACCTCTGCTAGTCTTCTTAACTGGAAGCACATATAACTCTTTCTTTGAGATGTTTCGAGGGTTAAAAACAAGCAAAAAGCAAAGATAACATATGAAGCTTCTACATGGCAGAACAGGCAGTTTTGTTCTGCAGTGGTTGTGATCTATACTCAAACGAAAAACAGTGTGTTCAGTTCCCCAAGGAGAACAGCATCAACTACCCATTAATTCAATGAATATTTAATTAACGTCTTGTTATTTCTAAGGTAGCAAAATTATATTTATGTAGCACAGCAGGTACAAACTACAGCACAACGATAGAGAGATCAAAACTAAACTGAAAGACTCACAAAAGCTCCTGAAGTAATGAAAAGGAGTAAAGTTGATCATTTTAATTCATTAAAAAAAAAGAAATTTAAAAAGATAATTATTAAATTAAAAATGTTTTTAAAAAACATGTAAATATAAACTAAATAGTAAACTTGAGATAACCAACAAATTAAATTAAGTAAAACAACCAGAATTCAGTTAAAATTATAATTAAGACCAGCAACTACATGACTGACAAACACAACCAAACAAGAATCTTTTAATTTCTTTTACTTATTTATTTTTGTATTTTTGAAGCCTTAAAGATCAAAGAGGCTTCTCTGGTATTGGTGGAAGAACCTGTCAGCCTGTTGAAGCCGGTTCATAGTTTACTGACACGTCTGAGAGATATTGAGCTTCCAGACCAGAGAGATGTCTGCATCGTGTCAACAGACATTAAAATATTCAGATAAACTAAGTCTAAGTGGAGGCAGATACTGTAGTTACCTCTGTGTGGGTGTTATATGGTCAAATCTTCTTCTTTTTTAACTTAAACTCTGGCAAACATGTTGTGGCGTTGTAGGGTATCTACAGGTGTCTAAACACAGTATTCAGTATTAAATCCATGCAAACATTTGTGCTGCTGCGTGCGCTACATCAATGTGGCTGATTCATTAATTCTGGCATCTGCTGTTGTGCAGCTGCATGCACTCGTGTGTCCATCTCTCTTCATCTCACAGAACATGCTGCATTTCACACGGCCCCCAAACTAGATATTAATACATCGCATAAAGACTTCTAAAAGATAAATGCTTCTGCAAATCCACGTGCTGAATTCCCTGGCTCTACCTTTTCAATATGACATCTGCCTGAGAACCTTCCATTGTCGGGCTGATATATGACTCAGCAGAGACTGGAAAAATGTGAGTGCCATTAAACCACACTCAGCTTTTCCTGTCTGTGCCTCCACAAAAAAGGGCGAAGCAGCAAAGCAGTCCAAAACACAGAGTGTGTGGCATTTGCCACCTTTCATCTAACCTCCACTTAGCCCAGCCTGCAATGAACATGAACTCCAACATTTAAAAAGACCATACTGTATTTGAGTGGGTTAGCTGCAGCAGAACACAGAGTGTGTGACCTGCTGACTCCTAATCTAGTGTGTGCTGCATTTTTCATATAATACAGTAAGAAAGAAAAATCATCAAGAAACCTGTTTTGGCTACGATGGAAATGAATTTTTCTAGAGACTTTATGGAGGCTCTGATTCAACACGGCCAAGGTAGGAAGTCTTTATTGTTGGAACAGTTCTGTCTTCTTACCAAAAGGTGTCAGCACAGAAATACTTTATGGCCAGTCTCAGGTTATCTAGCGGACCAAAGAGGATGAAGCAGGTTAGGGTGTGTCTCGCTGCCGCAGATCAGATAACAGCTGAATACTGGCCATTGTGTCTGGGATTAAGTACACAATCTTAAACACAGTGTTTAAGACGTTTTTAATATTGTTTTCTTAAAAAAACAATTGCATGTCTACCGTCTAGTTTATTTTGATCCTAAAAGAACTAATGTGTTTTTTTTAAAGATTAGGAGTAAAATTTATTATAGTTCATAACTTTAACATTGAAGACCTTGAGTTAGACACCTCCCACGCTGCCTGCTGGCTGCGTCCGGGATCAAGTTTCCTGGTGTAAAATCCAGAGGGGTGTGGGCTGCAGGATGGCCCCTGACTGGCTGCTTCACCTCTCTCCTCTGCACAAAATGGTCACAGTGAAAAAGAGGCAGACCAGGCAGGGCTCGGGAGTAATGGGCAACTGAATAGATAACATATCTTAAGATGCACTTTTGCATTCTTTGTCTGTTGGGCTGTAACTAATGATCCATATCTTTATTGATTAGTTTTAGGCCACATTAATCAACCAAAAAAAGTTCAGAAAAGGTGAAAATGTTCTTTTAAAAGCAGCTTAGAATTAAAGATAGTCAACTTTTAATTATATTTAAGCCCAAAAAAGAGCAAAAATGAGAGCTGGGGATTTTTTTTTTTTTTTTTTTGACATTTTTGTTGTGACGCTTCAAACTTTTTGTGTTATTTATATCTGATGTATCATGAACATTTATTTCATTGACTTTATCAGTTGGGCAGAACTTTAAATAGTATACGAACAACATCTTATATCGCAATTCTACACATGATGAGTCTGAAAATATTGTCCAAGAACTGAGCTAATATGTCCAACCTGTGTAGTTTTTGTGTGATCAGATTAAAATGTTCCATCTGTGACTTTAAAACAAAGCTGAGCTATAGTAGCGTCGAGTGATGCACATCCTGTGGATACGGCTGCATAATTGCACTGTTTCCAATAAATCTTTTTTTTAACGGCTTTCACAGAGCCGCCTTTGTTATAGCTGGCAAAAGTCACGTTTTCCGTTCTTTGTCTAAATCCTGTAAGAAAAAATGTGAATGTGTCCCTGGGAGTCTCTCTGAAGCCTTGCACATGGATTCCATCCAGCGGCGCTCGCAGAAACCACCACGCATGAGATGCTGTTTCCACTGAGGAAAGCCTCACAAATTAAATCAAACTCGCAACGCTGTGTAGTTTGTACTTCCCAGCTGTGCCTCCGCTTTTCTCTCTCGCTCTCACTCTTTCCTTTTTTTTGGGTGTTTTTTCTGCACGCCCCCCCCTCGTTTTTATCAGAACATAATGTCATGAGGTCAGCTCTGACTCCTTGGCAGTTCTGCATTTTCTCTAAAAGTTGTGAAGACGCTGAGAGAAGATGGAGTTGTGCTGTTGCTTCTGCCCAGGACCTCCCAACGGTAGGTTTTATTTTTACCGGAATCTGTTTTTAGACTCTTTATCAGTGAACTTAAAGATACCAGATCAAGAATAAACTATGCTGAGGTTAATTTCTTGAATTATGCTTGCCATCTGAGGACACTGCCACTCCCAGTATCAGTACTTTAGATTTAAAAACATCTCTCACATTCCTCACATTGCTTCGCTAATCTTACCTACGCTGTTATGTGAAAGTTGGGCATTAATATCGAAGGCTTTTTAAGTGAAATTCTAAGAACTTCTGAATTAATTAAATGTGTAACTTTGTGGATTTTGGCTATGTTGCTTTTGCGGGAGTATGTAGAATGTGTATCACAATATGGGAATCATTGAGCGAGTGCATACCATGTGAGAAGAGGGGGAGTGGGCTGGCTCCTCCCATGAGGGAGTGGTGAAATGAATTTATTCCAGACGTCTCTACTGCTCCCCTGGATTTATTCCCTTTGCTCAATCCTCACTGTAACTAATTGCCAAATTGCAGTGCCAGTTTCTAAGGCTTTGGGGATTTGGTTGACATTTTCAAACAAGGATCATATAAGGTCTCTCCCCAAATCAACTGCCAGCACTTTAGACTAACAACGCCCACTTTTTCTTCTACACTTTTGCTTCTGGTCTTTGTGCCTAAACTTAGCTTCTTTTTTTTTTGTTTTAAATTTAGTGCAAACTATATTGTGTAAGACTATTCTGTATTCCCTTCTTTATATAGCATGACACAGTGCTCACGCTAAAGACGGCACGAGGTCGAGGCCGTCTCGACTATTTTTGCTTTCTCTATGGTGGCTGTTGGTGTGTGGCTTCGCTGTAAATGTGCGAGGGTGACACTCGTCTTGGTGTTGGGTTTCTGCACCACAGCTGATGTTCTTTTCATTTGTTCTGACAACAGAGACCTTGGCAGCGATGCTGTTTTGCCTCAAGCAATATTTTATTTTTTTAAACAGTGATGCAAACAGGTGATGTGTGCATATTTCTGCAGGTGCAGTTAGTGTTTCACAACTCTGTGTTTCGAGTTAGGCTGGTGAGGAGAAGCTCCCACAGAGGAATTTCATTGTGATCATTTGGTGACATAGAACTGTTTTAATAAAGGTGATTGACAGGTTTGAAAATGATTGCGCTTAAAGCGGCGTCCTTAAAAGGCATGCAGTCTGGTTCCAGAGGACATCTGCCCTCGAGGCTTTTCTCTGTTTTAACAACAGAGCCAGGGTAAGATGGAGAAAAATGAAAAACACTTTAGGATTTAGAGCTAACAATGCAGCTGGCAGTTCAGAGATGCTGAAACGGTTGGTTGTAAAACAGGATCCAGTTTAATCAGGTTCTAGGAAGCTTATACACACTGGTTGGGCTGTCCAAGCATAAGGAAGCTGTTAGAATTACGGGAAAATTGTGAAG